CTTTTCTGTTCTTTCTCTCCATTTGTGGCATTAAACTGCTTTGATTTCTTGTATTTCTTCTTGAGGCATTATAAACTCTGAATTAATTTAAGACACTTATGTGTTGTTAGGTGCCATCAAGTCGGCTCCAACCCAGAGGGACACATTGCACAACATAATGAAACACTGCAGCACGGCACTGCCCTATGCCATCCTCACAAGGAAAAGTGTTCTGTGACAAGCCCATTGATACAGCCACTGTGTCAACCCATCTCCTTGAGGACCTTCCTGTTTTCACTGCCTTTCCACTTTATCAAATATAAATCCTTCTCCAGGGACTGGTCTCTCCTGACAATAAAACCCAAATACATAAGACTAACTCTTGCCCTCCTTCCATTTAAGGAACACTCTGACCTTACTTTTTCCAACATAGATTGGTTTGTCCTTGTAGCAGTCCATGGTACTTTCAATATTCTCGTCTAGCACAATTCAAATGCATCGATTCTTTTACGCTCTTCCCTTTTCAATGTTCAACTTTCACATGCATATGAGGTCATCGAAATTACCAGGGCTTGGTTCTGGCTCACCATAGTCCTCAAAGTAAAATACTTGCTCTATGAGAAGTCTCGTGTAGCAAATTTACCTAATACAGTATGCCCTTTGATCTCTTGACTGAAGCTTCCATGAACATCAATGGGATCTAAGTGAAACTAAATCCTTGAAGACTTCAATCTTTTCTCCATTTATCATGATGTTACCTTTGGTCCAGTTGTGAGGATTTTGGTCTTCCTTACACTGGGTTGTAATCCATAATGAAGGCTACAATCCTTGATCTTCATCAGCAAGTGCTTCAAGTCCTCTTCACTTTCAGCAAGCAAAGTCGTCATCTGCATATCAGAGGTTGTTAATAAGCCTTCCTCCAATCCTGATGCCACACTCTTCTTATAATCCAGCTTCTCTGATGATTTTCTCAGCATAGAGCTTGAACTAGTATGGTTAGAGAACACGACCCTGACACACAACTTTCCTGATTTTAAGCCATGCAGTATTCCTTTGTTCTGTTTGCACAACTGCCTCTTGGTCCATTTACAAGTATTGAATGAGCACAATAACATATTCTGGAATTACAATTCTTCTGAAGGTTCTGCACATTTTATTATGGCCCACACAGTTGAATGGCTTTGCACATCATTGAAACATAAGTAAACATCTTTCTGGTATTCTCTCATATGAGATAAAATGCATCTGACATCAGCAATGATTGCCCTTGGTCTATGCCATCTTCTGAATCTGGCCTGAACTTCTGACATTTCTCTGTCATCGTACCATTTGCAACCATTGTTGAATGAGCATCACAAGAATTTTGGTCTATAGTTTGAGCATTCTGTTGAGTCACTATTCGAATGGACACAAATAAGGATTTCTTCCAGTTAGCCAAGTAGCTGTCTTCCAAATTTCCTGGCATAGAAAATGAGTGCTTCTAGTGTTTCTTTAACTTTCTGAAACATTTCAATGGGTATTCTATTAATTCCAAGAGGGTTTTATTTTTTGGCTAATGTATTAATTGCAGTTTGAACTTCTTCCCTTAGCACCATTGGTTCTTGCTCATATGCTACCTCCTGAAATGGTGAATGTCAATTAGACACTAACTTACTACCAGGGAATCACTGCTGACTTGTAACAACCCTTTATAAGGTTTCTGGGGCTGTAAATCTTTATGACAACATATAGTCTGGACTTTCTATCACAGTGGCTTATAGGCTTGATCCAAAGACCTTGTGGTTAGCAGCTCAATGCTTATCCAATAGTGACACCAAACCAAATGAAGCTCACTGCCTTCGAGTCAATGTTAACTGACTGTGATATGCCTTTGGATTTCCAAGGCTCTTAACTGGTTATGGGAATAGAAAACCCAGTCTTTCTCCCACAGAGCTGTGGTGGTTTTGAACTGTTGAACATGCAGATCAAAGCCCAACGCTTACCATTACATCGCCGGGGCTCCTGCAGTGACACTAGAGCACCTTCTTTAAGACATTAAGTGTTCTCAAATACTAAACAAATTGGTGAACTCTGGATCACACTTCACATTTCCCCCTACAGCTTAATGTTTTTTCCCACAGGTAAAGCATTCTAAATAATTAATTTTTGAAATTGTCTTTACCAATATATTCCCATCTCTTGGCATTCTGGGAAGATCTTTAAGATAAAAGAGTAGGCTTTGTCAGCCCCACCTTGTTCCTAGAATTATTACAAAAGGAATTTGGAAAAGATATCCATAAAATGTATAATACATTTTCCATGGGTTCATAATCATGTAGAAATGGAGAGAAAAACACATTACTCAGAATATACTTTCATTACTGATTACCTCTGGGTACAATGTCAAATAAGTAATGAAAGATATCTTGAGTTTCATATTTAATGGCTTGAGTTGTTTTTGTTTTGTTTTGTCTCATTCTGTTTTCTAAGAATGTATTTTTAAAGAACTATACATATATATAGTCTGTGCAATAAAGTTATTTAACTTTATTATACAAATAATTCTAATTAATCATTAGCAACATATGACACACTTGAATTTGGAAAATAGACTTAAGTGGAAATTATACAAAGTTACCTTCCCATTCCATCAAAATTGAACTGTGGAAATCCTTGTCACCCTAGTCTTCGTGATAGATCAAGGAATCAGGGTGGGAGTTTCCCAGAGTCGGCTTCCTCTCTGAACTCTGTCAAGTGAGTCTGAGTTCCTTATCCTTCAACATGCTGAAGACTCCTACTTTGGTCCTAAAGCAAGACCCACAGTAAATTCTACCACTTGATTCCTGTTCTTGGCCAGATTTTCAGGGTCCTGAATTTTGGCCACTCATAATTTATAAATTATATAAATGTGAGTATAAAATAAATCTATCTTTCTCTTGCCACATTTTTCTAATGTGATTCAGAAGTATCTTGTGAGTTTTCTCTCTTCCCATCGGGAATACTCTCTACAATAACACCTTGTTTACAACTTGGCCAGAGTCTCCAAAGCAGGCACCATGATTCCTTGGCTTAGTTAGTTGTCAGCCTTTTTAGTTTATAACATATTCCTGAATTGACTATGCTTCTCAAGGATATATATATATTGCATAGTAAAAGTATATGATATATATACATATATACACACATATATAATTCCTGTACTGCTTTCAACATTAAGAGAAAAAAAAAAACCAGAAAGCACATTGACATGTAGTTGATTCTGACTCACAGTGACCCTGAAAGGACAGAGTAGAACTACCCCTAAACATTTCCAAGCCTGCTAATCCTTACAGAAGCAGACTGTCAGATCTTTCTCCTGCATAGTCGCTGTGATGTTCAAGACACCACCCTTTTGGTTAGCAGCCAAGACCTTGAGCCACTGTGACACCAGGACACCCTGTGCTTACCATAGCTTTTATGAGTCGGTATTTTCCTTCTTGAGCTCAATAGCAGTGACAGGAACGATAGTGATGATGCTCATCCAATAAACACTGATGCTATAAGTAAAATGAAGAACTGATTTCTAGAAAACACACAAATACTATTTATGAGTTTGCAAATATTAAAACATATAACGTATATAGGGTAGAGCCAAGGGCATTCTCTGTATGTTCTTTCAATGCTTGCTGGCAGTTTTTCAGGATTTTCAAAGAAGCTTTTGAATATTTAAAGATTTGGGGCTCATCTGAAGAACATTAACATTTTTCAATACATTAAATAATAATGTGTAAAACTAGGGAGTTAACTATATTAATTATATCTGTTTTGGGGATTTGTGAGTAGTATAGTTTTGCTTTTTTCCCAAGGAATGATCACTCTGTGGATGGTACTTTCATTTATGGCCTTTTACCCCGCAGTCTCTCTTCTCTGGGATTCTGTAGCTCAGAGGAGCTGAATGATCTCAGCGATGTCTAAATTATCTTTGGGGATAGGTCAAAAAGGACGATGTAGCTCTGTGGGGTGATTGAATTTCTCTGCAAAGTATTTTCAATTTTGGTGGGGTGGGTGGGCAGGTTGGGGAGAATTTACGGTTTTCTTGAAATTGGGAATCCACTGAAAAATAGGAAATCTTTGCTCCTCGGGGTACTGGATCAAAATACCATACTGCCTACAGTCATGCCAGGTTCCAGTGCTAGCAGGGAAGGGAACCAGGAAATTATTTGAGTGGTACTCACATAAACACCTGGCTCCAAGAAGACAGTCCTTCAATGGTGGTTAAATAAGTGGCAGTGGCTGTTCTTAAGAGTTCCACAAATAAAAAGCTCGGGTTGATCAGTAAGTCAATGATCAATGTTGAAAAATCAATGTAAACCCTTTTACCTTTTTGAAATAGTGACTCCTTCACTCATGGAGCATTCTGACTCTGGATGGCATTTGCCATACCCAGTGGTGGCTTTGCAACATGTTTTAGTAGTTTGAGCAGAATCCCTTCTACATGAACACTGGGATATGTTTTCTTTCAATCCACACCTCCCCTGCTTTATCTCTTTGGTACCTTGGACCTCAGCTATTATAAGCAGGTGCTTGTAACCCCCATTGCATTATCACCTTGTAAAATAACACATTTTTATCAATAATCTTATGGAGATATGCCATGATTTGGTAATTTTAGAACTTGCTCTAGTGGTAAGACTTTATAACATGCAGGTGAATATTTGTAGTCTGTGGTAAGTATTCACAGAATATTTTTCTACTCTTCAAACCTTAGCAAACAGACTTCAGGCTATTCCTCCTTTATAATGGGAGCAGGACATTGTCTTTCCAATCTAGATAAAAATAATATTTTGAAACATATAAATCATTTGAAATTAATGGACCGATCTACAGAAAAATTGTTTTGGATGTAGATTTACTCTGAAATCACATTACATTTCTGAAGTTTAGCTCTGGGCTGATTATGGATCAGCAAAGTCTAAATATGTCTACTTTCTTATTTTAGATTCGTTGGATAAGGAATGGAAACAAATAGAAACACAGAGCACAAAATATAACAGAAACAAATATCAACTCCAAAGATGACCAAGAAAATTCTTTGGGCATCATTTATTTTACCCCAAACTCTACAACCAAACAAATTTTCAAAAGATTAAATCAATTCTCAGGTAGATATTCTAATCCATTAAGTCAGTGTATATTTAGACAAAGAAAACATTCTTCCAAGGTTAAGATTAAGTGCATTTATTTCGAGTTAGTGGATACAATGGTCTATTAGACACCAACACTCCAAGCTACACCTAGTATTTGCCTCTAAACCTTCACATAGTATCAGTTTCCATCATTCTACATTCCACCATTGGACCTCCTATTTCTAACAAAATCATAGCCCAAATGAAAACAATATAAAAGGAAAGCATACTGGGTTTCCAGTGCCATTGAGACCATTTTAATTGTTGAGAAGAACTGTTTGTTTCAGAAAATGAGAGAAAATCAATGACATGAGCACGAGTGATGGCACTACTAGAAGTGAGAGCGATTCAAGAAGCGTTCGTTGTAGGCTGGACTGGTTAGTTTCCCGTTTGTTAAAAGTCCCCTGAATACATGGAAGTGGCTTCAAAGTTAAGTTGTTCAATTTGTGGGCACACAATTAAGCATATTGGCTAGTACATTTTTGCACTGAAACAGAAGCAATACAAACTTTATGTTCTACCATTACACTTCTGCATTTTTCACTTATTAATATACCTGCCAACCTAATGATTCTTGCATGCATTAGAATTTGCTTTTGTAGAGTTAAGTTTATTTCCCCCTATCCCCACCCACTCCCGTAAACATTCTGATGCGAACTCTTTGCCCAATTATATGAGAATATTGCAAAGGACAGTTCTGTGTCACCTCAGGACAGAAATCCCCTGGTCCCTCCTGGGCTACAGATGGATCTGTAATATTGATCACATCTCATCTTACATGCAGACAGACACTGGTCCCTTAATTTCCCCATGCCTGAGGCATACGAGTCGGCAGGTATACATACAAAATTTGAATTATAAAGAAAATGAAAGGGAAAAAGAAAGAAAATGCTTCCAGGTTAAAGCCTATCATTCCTAGAAGGAATCCATTGCTTTGAATTCACTTAAAGCCTGTACAGGAGAAATGTGTTTCTTTTGAGAACCTCGTCTAACACGGGTCTGGAATTCTTCAGGTTTTTCTCTCTTCACAAGGGGCTTTTTTTCGGGAGCCTTCATCTTCCAAGACACAACAGGTGAGTTGACAGCTGCGGTCCCATAGACCTTCTGGTATTTGGTCGAAGCCACGTAGGATGCTTTCACCGTGAGAACTACAGCATTCATCAGGTTTTTAGCTGCTTGAATAAGTGATGTGGCGCTGTCCAGCTACAGGAAGGAAAATATGAGATACATATGGGTTAGTCTAGGCCCAATATGTACAAGATGGTAGTGCAGTTTCACAGCTAAAACATTTCTTTGCTTGAGCAAGTATACAGCATTGCTGAAAAGGAGCATGTGTTCCCGCAGGATAAGGCAAACAGGCCACAGCACAATCACCTCTATACTCCTATTCTAATACCAAAGTAAAATAAAAATAATCAAATGAAAAAGCATATTCTGTGAGGCATATTTTTCTAAAAGCTGAAACTCTAGAGAAAAATCCACATATTTAACATGTAAAAATCCCAAGGTAATAACCATTTTCCAAAGTGGCAAGTCTCAAAATATATTACACTTAAGATTAGTAATGGTGACAATTACTCATACTTGACACCTATTTGGCAACACGGAAGAATAAAACATTATCAGGGCTACACCTCAATTGTACGGCCCTGCCAATGGACAAAGATATTTACAGACTATTTTGCCACCTGAGTTTAGGATTGGTGACCACGCAGGCAGTTATGGAGAGGAACATACCCATGGGTGATATGGTTTCTGATAGGTGGCTAAAGAGCTTGGAGTATACATTTAACAATCTTCAAGTCCTGAATGTACTGTACCTGGGTTTTGCAGGCCAGACAGCATTCAATGAGGCCCCTGTATCTATGTGATTAATAAGCTATTTAACATTTACAATATTCCAACCATAATTCTAAGAACTTTGTAAATATTTTCTCCTTGAATATTCATAAAAAACTCCATGAAGTAGGGATCATTGTCATTTCCTTTGTATGATGAGATAGCTGATCCAGTAATGCATGCCTATTTAAGCAGCCTTATTGAGAAAGTATTAAGTACTGAGCCAAACCATACCATTACACTGCTGGATAGGGGTAGCATTAAAAATGCTGTAAGTCACAACTTAGCAGAGTCAGCTGAGAGGCCCATCTATCCCCAGGCTTTCAACTCTGGCACTTTTTAGGTTACTTCTTTTTTTGGTTTTAACTAACTGGACCATATAGTGCATACTATATGCTAATTCAACTTCCTGGGCCATACATGCTGGAAAGGTAGAATTTCATTTCAACCAGTGTTTTACCTGTGACCCAGTGAAAGGAAAGAATGAATAACTGGACTTCATATCTGACTTTAGCTTGAGCATACTTTGACAATCAGTCAAATTTCTTACAGCATTAACTAAGGAAATGTTCCCACTGGGGTTCAACGAGGAATCCAATAATATGTTTTAGTATGTTACCCCTAGTTATGGAGACTTGTGTAGCCTACAGGGTTTTGAACCGTAGTTACACTAAATAATAGGACCTACGCAAACAACCTTCTGAGTGCTCAAGCTGAGGGACTCTAAATCCTGTGCTTTCCCTATGTAATGAGACTTGCATTCACATGAGCTTCTTGTCATTTCTTGTAACCCTACTATATTCCCTTGGGGACATTAGCAGCCACATCTAAGGCCTCCATGATACTCTGGTTGCCCTTCTGTTCCTTTCTTACAGCTAAAGAAGAGTGATGAGCACACAAGCAAAAAAAACCATGAACTGCCTTGACAATCATAAGAGCACCAAACGTTTATTGCACAGATTTGGGGGGAAACAAGGGAAGATATTTTCTAGGTGTGCGTTCCTTGGATTTTAACCATTAAAAAAAAACACCAAAGGCCATTATTACATAGACCCCAAAATAATAAGCAAAGGCAAAGTGATTTGTAGATTAGAGTCACAATTCAATGCACATATGCTTGATTGCTTTGTGAAGTAACTCAAGAAAATGAATGACTCGCTTATTTTACTTGTCTCTTTTTACTGCATATTTATTTATTGTCTTTTCAAAGGTTTTATTTTTTTACTTCACAGCACAAGATACACATAACTCCAACCAAAAGAAAAAAGTGTATAACATGTTGTTTATATAGCCTAGCTAAAGGAAAAATCTACGTACAGAAAAGCAGGTTTAGATTACTCATGTTAACAAGCTAGAAATGAAGCATGAGTGAGGGAGGCAGTTCTCAAAACGCACTTTCTGAGCCAGCTGCAGCAGCGTAACCTAGGAACCTATATGAAATGTGGGCCTAACCCCAAACCCACCACCTCAGAGCCTGAAATTTACTGTAGCAATTCATCTAAGGGATGCTGATGCCGGCTCAGCTTTGAGAACAATTAGATTAATGAAACCCAAAGACTTTGGAAAATTTATTTCATCCACTGATATAAAGTCTTTCACTATACACAACTTTGATGTTGTCCTAGGCGGTATAATGCAAATGATGAAGGACAAAGGTCACAGAAAAAAAGAAAAAAAAAAACTTTGGAAAATCAGAAACCTATCTGTCTCTGTTTCCTCCGAAGCTGCAAAACACTACCTCTTGGCCAATCAACAGTTCCTATAAGTCTGTCAGCTTTCCAGAATGAAAAATGCTCATGAAGTCAGTAATTTCTATCGTATGCTTTAGGTAAAGGAAAGCAAAGCGGCCTTATAACAGGGACAGTGATACAGTTTGCTTCAGGGCGCTAGCGTTAGCAGAATAAAGGAAGATAAGTTATTTCTACTGCTTTATTAAGCGTCTCCCAAAGAGTGAGTCTTGGGAGCATTGGCTGGATCTGAAGAGAAGGATTATATAAGTAATTTGGGGATTTTTTTTTTTACCACAGATTCCATTTTCAGATAGATGGTGTCTAATTCTGCAGCAAAAATATGATAGCCTGTCTCTTCTTCAGAACCCCTTTGCTCACTCAAGCTGATGCAGGAATCCTGTGAATAAATCTAATACATTGATTGTGAGACAACTCTGAAAATAGTCTAAGGTTTCATTCAAGATGCCTTCTAAGGTATAAATTAAATTTGTGAGCAGGGACATGGGAAAGAGCTGAGATGTCCAGAAAGCTAAATTTTAAAAATACATATACTCTAGATAATAAGCATCTCCATATATATATATATATGGTATATCAAAATCCGTAGTGTTCAAATACCTAGATACACAGTCTACCCAAATTAACACAGATGGATATAGAAAACCTGAACAGACCAATAACAAAAGAAGAAATAGAAAAGGTCACCAGGAAATTTCCACCAAAAAACCGAGGACCCAATGGCTTCATAGGGGATTTCTGAGTATTCAGAGAAGAGTTGTCACCAATTCTACACAATCTATTTCACTATATAGAAAGGGACTGCTAACTTCCAAATTCATTCTATGAACTCAGCATATCTGATATCAAGCAAAGACCACACAAGACAGAAAACTATGGGTCAAGAGCCTTCATGAACATAGACACAAAAATTCCCAACAAAATTTTGGTCAAAAAAATTTTCCCAACAAAACAAAACAAAAATTGATCATAATCAAGTGAGATTCATAATAGGGATGCAAGTATAGCTCAACATTTGAAAAAAAAAAACCTAGGTAATCTACCACAGAAGCAAGACAAAGAATAAGAGCCACGTGATCTTAACAATAGATGCAGAAAATGCATTTGAAAATATCCAACACTCATTACTGATGAAAAGTATCAATAAAATAGGAATAGAAGCAAAACTTCTCAACATAAGAAAAGCCATAAAAGAAATCCAATGGCCAATATCTCACTCAGAAGGGGGACATTGAAAACATTTCCCCTGAAAACAGGAACTAGACAATGGTGTCCTTTATTACCACTCTTATTTAACATGATGCTGCAAGTCTTAGCCAGAATCATTAGACAGTAGAAAGAAACAAAGGGAATAAAATTGGGTGGGGTGGGGGGAGTGAAACTCTCTCTATTTGCAGATGACATCATTTTATTTAGAGAGAAACCCACGGACTTCACAAAAAAGACTGTTGGAAATAAGAGATTTGGTAAGACAGCAGGATACAAGATGAACAAAGCAACCAAATTCCTATAACCAAGTAAAGAGACCTCCAAAAAAATCAAGAAAATATCATCTACAATAGCCAAACAAAAAGTGAAATACCCAAGAATAAATCTAGCCAAAGACACAAAAGACCTGTAGAAATAAAACCACAAAACAGCAGTAATAAAATCAAGAGACCTATAGTGATGAAAGAAATTTTGTGTTCATGGATAGAAAGATCTAATTTTGTGAAAATATCAGTACCACCTAAAGCTAACAACAAAATCAATGCAATTCTGATCCAACTTCATTCTTTAAAGACACATAAAAACAAATTACCAGCTTCATATGGAAAGGGAAGGGGCCAAGAATAGGCAAAGAACTTCTCAGAAAGAACAACCAAGTAGGAGGCCTCACTCCACTTGACCGCAAAACTTACTTCATAGAGACAGTAGTAAAAATGGCCCAGGACTGGTACAATGATAGATGTGTAGACCAATGGAACAGGATAAAGACCCCAGAAATAAAAGCATCTACCTATAGGCAACTGATTTTCCACAAAGGACAAAAAACATTTAATGAGAAAGGCACATTCTCTTTAACAAACAGTGACAGAAAAATTGCACTCTAGGAGGGAAAAGTCTTTAGCAATGACACAACAAGAAAAGCACAAGTCACCCAATTTAATGGTGGGCAAAGGACACAAATAGGGAATTCACAAGGAGAATGGCTAATCAACACATGAAAAACCGTTCACGATCACAATCCATCCAGAAGATGCAGATCAAAACAATATCACCTAACACTCACAATGATAGCCAATTCTTAAACACAGAGCCCACACATTCTGGAATGGGTAGAGAGAGATTGGTACTCTTAAACACTGCTGTGGCTTATAAGTATGTACATTGTTGAAAGCAATATAGCAATGCATAAAATAATTGGGGATAAAAATAGCATATGACCCAGCAATACCTTTGGTGGCCATATAACCCAAAGAAATAAGACACAGAACATGAAAACAAGTATGCCCTCTCATGTTCATTACTGCAGAGTTTACAATAGCAAAATGCTGGAAACAGCCCAAATGCCCATAAGTAGAAGAATGGACAAAGACATCTGGTACATATGCACAATGGAATACAATATATCCC